CCAGTTCGGTGGGATGTCTGAAGATATGCTCTCCCAAGTGTTTCAGTCTTGACCTCCCAAACACGGAAGAGTCAAGAAAGGGGTATTAAGTTGTTTCCACCCCATCTTTTCCCATAAGGCTTATGCAAATGACGTCTGGAATGATTCCCAACCTTACAGCATGTCCGCCAATAGGGCAATAATCTATTAAAAACCCAACAACTAGGGATAGGCTAGTCATACAGAGTGCAAAGAGATCACTAGATCTCCTGTGATCAATCTTGGTTATCTAGTAGAACGCCAGAGGATACGGGAGCAACGACCCGCTTCCATTCTACCCATAGCGGTTCTATGGTGCCTTTCCTGGCTGGCTCATCAGCTTGACAATTTCCTACGACTCCGCTATGGCCCGGCACCCATACCAGTCTTATCACAAAAACACTCGATACTATTCATACCGCGGTTAGGCACTCCTCGACCAACTAGGCTAGTATTGCCGCTGTGCTATCTGAGTGAATGGTCACTTCTCTGAAGGAGACTACCTTAGTGTCTGAAACCTCGGCTTGAAAAACACTGCAATAGTCAGGAAGTCTGAGGTTGAAGTTGATAGGGAGTTAAACATTTAATTTGTTTACTTTTATAACATAAAATATATCTATAAATTTAATAGTTAAGTCTTACTATATGCGAAGTATATGCATTTGATCAAAATCCGGCAGTAACAAAGTACACCGCCCATTTAGATAATGGTTTTACAACTATTCAATATCAAACCAATAACAATAGAAATATAATTTCACAAATGAGCTTCTGAGCATGACTTTGGTAAGGTAATTCATAACTTTTGACCTATTTGAATAAAATTTATTTATGCTTTTAACAGTTTGAAAATTGAAAAAAATCGGAACCGTCTCCCTCTCAACGGTTCATTTGACTTACTTGAATGGATTGACCCCCCTTTCAATCTTATTGACATCGGGTCAATATCTCGTACACATTTTACTTTAGTCTGATATAATGAAAGTAAGCAGTTTATATATAAGAGAGCTTGATATCTCGGGAAGACTAAGTGAAGTCTCTTAATAGAACTCCAAACCTGCATGTAGGAAACAAAGGAGGAAGAAGAATATGACCGGCCTTAGTCTTATTCTTCTACTTCGTCTTCACTAACTCAGCATGCAACTAATTTTCCTTAATTTCTTTTACTCGCATCTTTATTACATAAAAATGGAAATGCCCTCCCAAAATATACATATGTATGTTATATTTTTAATAATCCACGTTCAGCTACTACTTAGCTCCTTCCTTATTTAGTTTTTATTTCAAAAAGTGTATTACATAAACTGAGTTTGACCTCAACTGCACTGTGATTCTCTGGAATACTTTCAATAATCTATTTATAGCTTATAGTTTTGTAAGTAATCCCTCGCATATTCCGAAGCAGTGGATTCAGGCTGTTAGCCACTGAAAGAATTTCCAATTATTTTTGTTTGCTTAATACGTGTATGTACATATGAATCTTTGTATGTATGTGCGTGTGTACTTAAGCATATTTTCGCATGTGTGTTAGTATGTGAGCTGCTGTTGTCGCTGCTTCTGCCACAATAAACAAGATAACCAATTACGCCACTTGTGTGCTAATTGCGGACGACAGTTCCCGCCAACGAGACAGCCGCCCAGCAGCCAGAGCTTGGGCAACCAGCAGCACTTGAGAAAAAAAATATAAACAAAAACAAAAAAGTGGAGGAAACGTCGCCTCCGTCAGCAGAGAAATTAGGAATTCAGCATACATTGACCAGCATGACAACTGGATTGCTTGCCAGCCGGGAACACACACACACACACATAAGCACATTTATGCAGAAACGGTGTAGTGGGGGCGAAACATATGCAACAACCTACAAAATCACATGCTGTCTTGTTTCGCCTCATCAACAGCATTACCAACAATAATCACAACAACAGCAACAGCGCCAGCCGGAAGAACATCCATAACTTCCAAATTGTACTGTTGATTTCTGTGCTCATTGTCGCTTTTCGCAGAATTACTTATTATTTGCTTATGTGTATATGTGTGTTTGTATGTATTTGAGAATGCGTTTCGCCACACATTTCTGGTGAATTCCTGAGTACAAATAACAACCTCATTTTCGGCTGAAATGTGTCCCGCAGCGTGTCCAGCTGCCACGCGGCACATCACTCACTCGATTGACCATTATGCCATGGCGCAGGCATCCAAATGCGGCGAATTGCGAATTTTAATGAAATTGATTTGCTTCAAATATGATAACGAACTTGTGGCCCCTTAACAATGGAGGGTCCGCCAAAGCCTCACTCTATTCATCATGTCTATGTGTTCGTGTGTGTGTACATGCCCTTCAATGCCCCGGCAATGTCACTTTGATGACATAATTTAAAGTGGAAAAGTGCAATTTCAAGTTTAAATGCGTATTGAGGCCACAGCGGGGGCGAGGGCGGTTACGGTGGCTGTGCGGCTTGGTCGTTCCATTATAAAAGTAGTTAAAAGCGTCTCGACGCAATTTGAGTAAAAAGAGCAAAATATTAAACTAGCAGCAACCGGAGGCGATGTTATAATACGAATGTCATTGGCTATTTGGACATTTCTTAACGTGTACAACGTAGCGTATGAGCGACACCATGGTCGAAAGCATGAACTTTTAACTTCACAGAGACATAGGTTAAGCGCCAGTGGCACAGTAACAACTGTTTTGATTCGAAAAGTTAAACACATTTATCTATAATGATTTGCCCTAAGGGAAACATCTCTATATATTATGTGCGTTCATTGTTAATGCTAAGTGTCTTATTATTTTATCAACTATTGCATATAATATATTAAGCAGCGAACCAAATATAATCTTCTACTCGCTTAAATGTAAAAAAAAAAAGAAAAACATTTAAAAGTTGTGACTAAACAGCATAAAGATGTAATTAAGCCGTTGTGGGTATCAATGTCGAAGCTGTGAGGCTGTTAACTTAGAAGGTGTTAACTGAAACTGCTAAAATTGGCATTCAATTCGCATTTAGGCTCAGGTGGAATTCGACACTTCTTAAATAATAGTCGGGTCATTAGTCCGGACAGGGTCATAATGAAATTCAAATTGATTAAAATCCAGTTACTAAAAGAGGTTTGATTGAGAGAAAATATGCCAACTAACTTTATGTGCATAAACAGTCTGAAAATTAGATGATATACTACTTTGTACCAAAGAAGACGTATCTTATGATTATGTGGTCTTCATTTTCGCCTTACATTAACTTACTTCAAAAAGTTTTAAGTTGAAAAATAATTTTAGTGATGCTAAATGATAACAACCGAACACCTGCATGGTGAGTGAAGGGGGAGCCTGCTTTAGAAGCTTAAGGAACAAATTTTATTTTTTTGCTTAAATTTCTTTAAAAACTATCTGTGAACATGTTTCCAAAGTTATAGATGGGAATTCGAAATATTGTCGAAGCTAGTGCGGAAATAGTGGCTAAGCGTCTAGCAGGTATACGAGCGCTTGGGCAGACTTTGGCGCGCGATTTCTCGGTTTTTGATTTTTACGATTTTTCTTAATTGGCGAGCAGGATAGAAAAAAATAAACGTCGTGTTTAATTGGTACAAAGTTTTCTATTTAAACTAAAAAAAACTAATAAAATCAAGCTTGAACATATTTTTAAACTAAATAAAATAAAAAAAATTTTGATTAAAAAACACTTCTTTCAATTTTTAAAAAATTGTAAAGGTTTACATTATTTCCGGAACTTTCTAAGGTTAGCTAAAAGGTAAGTTATTAATAAATATGAATAATCTCTTCGAATTTTTTGTTTCGCCACCAAATGCCGGCAAATGCACATGCGAGATGCTTCGGGCAATTGCTCTCCAAAGGCAGAATATCAAAGATTTCATATCCAAAAAATTTGCGGATGATGTTTAAATATACAACTATAAACCCTAGAAATTTCGCTTTACCAAATCTTTTTCCCCTCCCAGAAAAAACCTCAAAAAATCGATTTTTGGAAGCCTCTGAAGCAGGCTGCCCTCTTAAAGTGCCACATGTGTATATAACGGGTTAGAGTCTGAGCTAAACCAAATTATTATTCTTAATCCTTATTACCATACCAAAATATATCTACAAAGACACGTTTTAGATTTTAATCTCACCAAAGCCATATATGATCTAATAATGTTGGTCCAAAAGGGGAAACCCGGTGGTGCAACCCTTTATAATTTCTATTATAACCCATAAACAAACAGTACCAACCTGCCTACTTTATTTGTAGGACTAATGCCCTAATCCGGCCTACGTGGCACAAAAACAAAGCGTAAAAAGAAATMACAAAAATATGAATACAGACACAATTTGTAACGGAGCCTATGCAAAGGGAAAGCTGACCTACAAATCAACACTTTCGCTCAGTGTCAAACGTCAGCATAAGCCAAACGAAACAAAACAGAAAAAATAACAATAAAAAGGGTCAAGTAGGGTCAGTTTAAATATATTACAAAATGAAGGGTTTTGGGTGAACGAGTGTAAGTGAAATTTATGCAAATCTTTTTCTCATAATTTATAAAACATTTAGGTTAGACAAAACTTATGCACATACTAGGGTGAGTCAAAAGGCCTAATTTAACGAGTTGTTGGGTTAAAATTAATCTAAATATATAAAGACAGAAAAATATCCCTGCAGGAATTTTGGCTTCTAAAAGTTGCGATCTCTCAGCTGTCATTTACCTCACAATTGCTTTTGCTCCATATAGTATAAATTTGTTGATCGTTTATGGGGATTGGTTAATAATTGGACCAAGTCGAAAGTGTTTTCCTTCAGAAATTTTGTGGTTTTAAACCTAAATATATCTGTAACTATATGATATAAAAATATTTCGAACCACGATTTTCTAATAGAAATTTATAATTCAGTCCAAAGGGAATACATTAAAGAAATAAACGAACGAAAACTTCAAATTGTCAGCCAAAAAACTCAATAATAAACAAGAAGTTAAGAGCACTACATACCCATCTCGGCAAGCGCCCGTCATGGCGAGAGCCTTGTAGCGTGCCTGTTCGTCGGTCGGCAGCACAATATCCACAGATCGCGAACGGGTCGCATTTATATTCGGCACGGTGAGAAAACAGCCATCCTCGCTGGGCTGCAGCTCCTCCGTTTTGCCGGCCGACGACATTTTCGAAAAGCACGAGTCCACCGAGGCGGCACGGTCGCGCTTCAAATCAGGTACAGTTAGATAAATATCACGTACAACCAGCGCATGTTTAGCTGCTGTCGGCGAGCCACAAGTAGCCACTGTGGACGCCTCATCCACCGAATCCACCGCCTCCACTGACGATTTGACATCCTCGCCCTGCGATACATTCTCCAGTGAATTGCCTGTTGGCTCAACGAAAATCGCTTCTTGTCGTGAGATAGAGCGCCGACGTGGACGCATGGCGGTCGGTGAGGGTGGCACTGCTGCAGCATCATCTGCATCCGCTGCGCTCAAACGGCTGCTAAAACCGGGTGGTGGCGGCAATGGCAAATCAAAGATGGGTGAATGAGGCAATAGTTCAAGTGGTGAGATGGGCGGAGGTGGTGGCAATTCCATCATCGGACTGTCGCATACGGACAACGAAATGGATGGTGAAGGTGGTGGCGAGCCGGGATCGATGGGAAAGGCATACGGAAAGGGCGGGCAATCGCCATTTGTGGGCGACAGTGTAAAAGTGATGCCGCACGGTGTCGTCGGCAATGGTGGCAGCAACGTATTACCAAAGTGCGGCGAATCATGTTCGGATTCTTCCAGTCCTTCATCTTCCGATGTCGTCACTGAGCTGCCAATGGTATGACGACGCATTTGACGTGGCAAACGTGCACGTGACTCCTCAATGCTGCTGCCCGTGCTCAAACCACCCAATCGGATGTCCATCTCTAGTGCCGCATCATCGTATTCATATGAACCGCCACCAGTTTCAGTGCCATCACCAGTAGCGGCATCCTCTTCATCGTCCTCCTCCACCACTTCATCGTCCGCCGTCACACTCACACCATCGATGTCTGTATCGTCGTCAGAACTGCTGTAACCGTATGACAGCGATATCGATTCGCGCCGATCGCCTGCCATGTAAAGCTGCTCTGACTTCTGCTGCTTCAAATACTCCTCCAAGTACATACAGTGCACACACGGTGGTGGCGTTTTCGTCGACGAACTCCGACGCGCCTTGTTACGGCGTGGCACTTCCAAGAATGTGCCCGAGTCATCGCTGCCCGCAGAAGCCGCCGCCGAGTCGAAGGAATGTGAGCGTTGCGTGTGCGTGGCTTGCGGCACCTGCAATAGACCCGTGTCCAGCGAACGTTCGTCCGTCGATGACGAGGACTGCTGCTTCAGCAGGTGAGACGAGACGCGTTGTGCCTCTAATTGCATTTCATCAAACGAAGCGGAACGCACCTGTTGGCGGGCGAATAGCGCGAATAATTACCATTCATTATGCATAAACGCGCGGAGCGGAGGATTTGGAGAGAGAAGAGTGAAAGAGAAAATGTTGAGGTTATTAAATGGCGCACGGTGCTGCTGTTGCACACTTATAATTTGCTTTAATTTACGACGCGATTGCATGCAAACACTCAAACAACCGTACAAGTACAAAAACAATAACTATAAAAATGTAGACTCAGCTGCGTGCTGCGCTTCAAATAGAAGCAAAAGCTAAATAAAAGAATTTTAAAAACATTTTGAAATCTAGAACGGATATGCAGGCCGGTGATTGAGGGGTGTGATGCAGGCGGTGTGTGTGTGTGACATGCAATTAGATACGAGCGTGTGATGTGTGTGAAGAACATATTAAAACGGCACATGCAAGGCTGGCAATTGGAACGGAAGTGGTCAACGGTTCGTGCTGGCAATTATTGCTGAGATAAGCATTCACAAAGGTGGGCGAACCAAACATTGTGAAGCTTGAACTGGACGGTATGGACTATGTTAAATTAATTCAAAGGTTTTTAAATATATTGTTCTTTCTTTAATGTTGCAATTAAATAACGTTATTTCTTATTTTTTATTTATTTTTATTTTTTTATTCTTTCACTAATTCCACAATTCATACCTTCAAGCATAATATCTTTCAATTACTGTAAAAGGGTATAAAACAAAATACTCAGCCCACCAACCCCCTTTCCGACATAAAAATAAATATTTTTAATAATTTATAAGCTAATATGTGCTCGCATGCGTTTGTGTGTGTGTATGTATGGTCGTAGGTGAAGGCGTCGGTTTAAACGGATTAACACTGAAAAGTGTCCAAAATGAGTGACAGGCAAAGTATTTATTGCTTTTGGTTTTTGTTAATGCCGTCACAAACAACTGTCCACGGGCTACAACAACCACACAAATATTTACTCATTGCACATAAGAGCATTTGTAGTTCTGTGTGTGGTCGCTGTGTTTGTGTGCTGGCAGGTGCCCCAGTGCAAATATGCTGATCATATGTCAAAAGGGATTTACATGTGAAATGTATGATTATTACGACAGCAGTCCGTTAACGGTATTGTTTTTGGCGCCACCCTGCTGGTTGTCGGCATCGGCATCGTGCTACTTTTCGGTTTTGATTATACTCGTTACTCGTTTCACTTTTGCACGAATATCGGCCAATTTTCACACAAATTACGCCTAAAAGTATGCAAATATGTATTTATGAAAGAGATTTACATGCAACACGTGCCGTTCCAATAGCGTGCCCGTGCGTATGTATATGGAAGGGTGTGCAATGTGACATGTCACCCGGTCAAATGGCAAATACACCAGTCATTGGAGTTCATACACACATGCATACATATATAATATAATATCTTTGCATCGAGGATGTTGTCTGTTATGTTTTTTATAATCACTGTGTGATATACCGCCATTGTTCTCATATTAGTGCTTGCACATTTTTATGTCCTTGCGAATTACTTTCCACATAGTCATCGGGTCCGGAGACACGAATAACGCATAAAAAGTTGTAAAAAATGTTAAAAAAAAGAACTAGATTGAGCTCACGCTTTCGATCTGGTGGTAATGTGAGCTCAGTAAATTTGGTACCATACGGTACCCTGATAATTGGTTAACTAAGGGTATACACCCTTTTTGGGCTTAACAAAGGACATTTGGGCGAAATGGGTTTAAAACCTTTTCTGTGGTTACCTCTCCATAAGCTCTGAGATTATGATCAAAGGTTCTCAAGAAGAAAGGTACTCAGCGAAGATTTCTGCTGAGTTATCCGATAACCTTCTAAGCGTGTAAGCAGATTCAGTAAGTTCATTCTCATCTAGAATTATATCATAACCGACTTTCGCCACAAATTATTATTAAGAAGGAGCTCAAAAAATGTGTTACCGCTTCATTAAAAGAGCAGTTCAACATGCCTTGGCTATATATAATAATTTTTTCCATTCGAATATCTATGAAAAAATATGAAACTGCGAGTTTCGTTTTTCGAGTGTTGAGGGTGGAAATTCGGGTCTCGCGACCACAACACTTTTGATGTCATCACGTTTCGTCTAAACGTATATTTCTGCCTCCATTAAACCACCAATCACTGGGAAAATACTCAACTTTTGTAGAACTTTTCGTTGCAAATGCAAGAGCAGCTTTTTGTTATAATAAAACATGGTCTAGAAGCATGTTAAAGACGGCATTTAACAGTGACTTAATATTGATGAATTTGTGTACTGGTTAAAGTTTATATGAATTCGTTCAACTGGAACAATTTAAATAATAGTAACTTTAGTTTATAAATATTGCCATGCAACATCAAGAAATATTGTGCCGTTAACAAAAAATAAAAAAGCTTAAATATTTCAAAGCGGCATGCTTCGCTGGTACAGAACTAAAGCAGTAATGGCAACAAAATCGAGTACAACATTTTTAGGAAAAGTAAAAATTGCTGAAATTAACATCCACAAGGGGTTCGCACCTGTTTCGGCACCTCGAGACTGTTTTGGGTCTTCATCTCGGCGCCGGTGGGAGTGCGCGAGCGCGTGAAAGTCGTACGCAGACGCTGCATTTTGCCGTAACTTCCTCTGCACAAGTGTTAATTACGCCTTGCTGTTGCTTTGTTCTCTTCGCCACGCTTTTGTGTCTTAATTTTTGCCTCGTTTAATTGCAGGCTCTCTTTGAGTGCCCGCTTTGCTTCTTATCCGCCCTCCGCTGGATGCTTGTTTGATTTTCTGTTTTATATCTGTTTATTGCTGTAATTTACGATATCCTATTTGTTATGTGTTTCTCTGTTGGTTGCTTTTAGCTGTCAATAACAACACTTTAACTGTTATTCAAGACTAGTTGGTATTTATGTTTTTTGGGCGGATGTTGATGGGCACTACGTGTCCTTAATGGAAATTTCTGGTTTCTGCTTTGTTTGGATTTTCGGCGATATTGCTTTTGTTGTTGTTCTTCTTCTTCTCGTTGTTGCTGTGAGCGCATCTTGTAAATAGTCGCACTGTTGTTATTGCAGTCACAACGGGTGTTGTTGTTGTTGTTGTTGTAGTCGTTGTTGATATCGCTTTGATTACCGTTATTAACGCTGACAGCTACAGTTTCCCTTGATTTGCCGAAAGTAAGTAACGGTTCATTAGCTTCGATTTTGCTAAAGACTCGACGCTCGCACCGCTGTGGCGCACAAATTACCGGCAAGGCCCAACGATAAGCGGCAATTAAATAGGCAACACATGTGCTAAGAACTTCATTTTGCTTTTGCTGAGCGAAATTAACAGCTGCCGCTCCGCCGTCTTCAAATCCCATTTTCGTTGTAACGACTCACGGTGGATTTGCGCTTCGATTACTTTCCTTTCGGCAGTTCTGCTTTGAAGTCATTGGCGATATCATTGCCGGCTACAGTGCCCGTTGTTGTTGTTATTGTATTGCTTTTTGTTGCTATGCACTGGCGTGTGGACGATGGTTAACCTCTGCATTGATGTCTTAGCCTGCGAATAACTGTGATTCCGGCGTCTTTCGGGTATATTTAGTGGTAAATCGTTGTTTTTGCTGTTTGTTGTTGCCTCGTTTATCGTGCTATTTGTTCTTTGTTGCCTTTGGTTTGATTGTCTTCACATCATTTGTACACAGCGGCACAGCGTAATCGAAGCAGTTGTGAGAAACACGAAGTTAAAGTAATTGCTGCAAGTTTTTGGAACGAAAATCGAACGGAGCAGAAAGGGGAGAGAAAGAGAAATTTTAAATGAGCATAATTTATGAAAATGTATTTTTCTTAAATGTTGTTTTTGCCAACTTCAAATGCTGCTTGGCCTTGTGCAAGTGAAACAATTTAAGGCGCTTAAAAGAACACTTTTGCCTGTCTAAAAAATCTCACTTTCGATTTTCATTTAAATTCTTATACAGTTCAATTCCTTTTAGTTTTTAACTTACTTAACCATTCCAAGGGGGTTCAAATAAAATGCAATTTCATCCAGTTGAACTCAATTATTGATATAGATGAAAAATAAAAATACACTTCCAGATATAAAACATGAAGGAAATTTCTACATATTATTATATTTTTGGGATCAAAACGTTCTCTATCTGATCAATCAGTGGGTGCTTGGCAGCTGTTTGTTTACAACTTTCTTGTCTGGCGTTTTTGACCGTGGAAAAAACAGATTTGCTTGAACTTTTGCGTTTCCAATAGATCTGCGACTATAAAATCGTTCAAAAGGTTGCAAGTGTTTTAAAGAGTTAGAGTCTCCTTTTTACGAACAAGTATTTGAGTGGCACAAAGCATTCAATGAAGGACGGGGAATGTCAATATCCCTTATGAATCGATTCAAAGCATTTTGGGTAATGTTTTGGGTAATATTTTGTATAACCTTTGGGTAGTGTTTCGGGTAATGCTTCGAGTAATGTTTTGGGAAATATTTTAGGTAAAGTTTTGTGTAACCTTTGGGCAATATTTTGGGTAATATTTTGGATGATGTTTTGAGTAATGTTTTCGATAATGTTTTGTGTATAAAGCTCGTCAATGCTAAACTCGAGTAGTGACTTATAATATGAAAGTATGAAAAACTGAATCAAGAGTTGTCATGCTTTTATTGGCTCAAAAGAAGCATATTTAAATGCGTGAAATAATATTTTCAAAGCAACTAGTTTTGTTGTTGTAAATGCCATATTGTCTAAATTTGAAACGATTAAAATATTTAATGTTATATTTAATTGTAAGAAACAAAAGATTTGTTTTACGTAAAATATCAGAGAGCAGAATAAATTTGAGAGTAAAATTTTTAAAAACGCAATTTATAGAATCTGAATTTTCAAAAAAAAAAAAAAAAAAAAAAAAAAAAAAAAAAAAAAAAAAAAAAAAAAAATAGATTACTGTGAAAATTAACAACCTAAAATTATTTGTGAAAATAAGAAACGAGCAGACATCATATTATAAAGAATAAATCTTTATCTACATACACACGCACACACATTCATATTTATTTCGACCATTTTTGCATTCTTTAGACTGGCCTATAATTTCATGTATGCATGCTTATGTATGCATGTGGGCGAGTGTATTACTGATGTGTACAATCTCCGATGATTTGATGATGGTTGGCCGTTGGACTTACAAGTCAATTTCATATTTTTAGTGTGCTGTGTAAATATTGAAGCACACACATACTCATAGATGCATGCAAATAAACATACACACACTTAAGCACACGTTACGAAGGATTCATTACTTTTATAGTTGAATGTATTGCCTTGATTTATCAACTGACTTTGCATATTCGAAAATGTCGGAAATTACAGCTGAAATATTACTTCTATTAGTATTATTGTTGCTGTTTTTGTTGCAAACTTCATGTTGCGCCGTTAGAGCTACAGCTAGCTGTAAGATTGAAGAGTTCAAAAGCGCACATTAATCGCTTAATCATTCATGTTCATATTTATTATTCAATAATTCGCTGCGAATGCAAAGTTGGAAGGAAAATATTGTAAATCAAAAAGGATTTGAAAAAGTTTCAATTGCACTTGCGAATCTCTATAACTTGAAAATATTATGCAGGAATTTAAATAAAATATAAACAGATTTGTATGTATGTATATAGAACAGAATAAGTGATCCTTGAAATCAAACAACTTGCTGAAACAGTAGGCCACAAACGTCTGCAGACAACACTTATTAGGACAACTTAGGTTATCTGCGTGAAAAACGTAACGTAACGGGGTTTTCAATAGGGACGCGACAAAAGTACCGATAGGGACAGCAAACGACGACATGAAAAGATATACGATCTAACAACGAGTCGAAATTATAAAAAATTTCTACCGACTTTAAGAGTGCTATGTCCAATTTATGGTCGTCATAATTATCCTGTCAGATCAACAATTGAGTATAAAGTAGAAAAATTTGAATCTACAGACACAGCACAAAATGTTCCCGTGCCAAAGAGATAAAGAGGTGCCCGCTAGCTCATCAATTAAGGAAAACCCAAATCAGTCTCTCACACGTCGTTCTCAAGCGTTGTACATCTCTATGAAGTCGTTGTGATGAATTTTGTGAAAATACCTTGGCCTACATCCTTAAAAGATCAAATTGACGCAAGAACTGAAACCACTTGATCACCACAATTGTCGTATGTTGGTGAATTGGGCTGAGCAACAACTTGAAAACGATCCGGATTTTCATCGAAAAATCGTCTTCAGCGAGGAGGCTCATTTCTGTCTGAATCGTCAATAAACAAAATATGCGTTATTGGTCAGGCAGCAGCCCACACGTACTCCATGAGTCACCATTGCATGTCTAAAAATTACGGTTTATGGGCCAGCGGCGTCATTGGGCCGTACTTCTTCCATGATGATCAAGACTGGCACGTTACAGTGAATGGAAATCGCTACCGTTCAATGATAACCGAATATTTTTAAAATGAGTTGGATGATATGGACTTGGACAATATGTGGTCCCAAGAGGACGGCGCCAAAGACCATGGTGTTACATCACGAAAGGACGAGCCAATTGGGCGCCTCAGTCGTGCTATTTGACGCCATTAGACTATTTCCTGTGGGGCTACGTCAAGTCTATAGTTCATGCCAACAAACCAGCGACTATAGATGAACTTCGTAGGAATATCGAACTTGAAATTTCAGTAGTATCTTCCGATTTATGTTGAAAACGTGGAAAATTAGATACAGCCTCTGGACTTCTGCAAGCGTACACGTGGTGGCCAAGCAAAAGAAATCGAGTTCCATATATAACGGCATCGAATTTACCTACATTGGAATAAAGAATTTCATTTTTTGTTTTATTAAAAAAAAAAACTGTTGTAGCGCTCTTATTGAAAACTTCGTTTCTTGTAACATTTTTTTTTAAACAAAAATCATAAAACTGCTATACTTTTGAGCTTTTGAAACTATGTAAATTCTAAGCCAGACTTATCAGTTTTGATAATTTGAGATATTTCCTTTGTTGTCAAATATGTATGTTTACGGAATTTTTAATCGAGTTTTGACTCGCTTAGTGGAAAAAATCCTCCATATTGCTTTCTGCGAGACTTTTATACCTCGAGAATTCACTTTTACCTCGGGTTATTACAACAAATATTAAAGCTTTTGTTTCATTTTTTTATGGATATATTTCTTTGCATGTATTTGTGTGTAGATAAATAATGTTTACCTCAAAACTACTTGTACAATTAATTTTTTACACATTTACTGTTATTCGACTACAATAAACACACCTTGCACTCGTATAAATTGCAAAACTTCCTCTTTAAAACAACAACAAATGGCAACTAGTATTTTTATATGTACATATGTATATACCGTTAGCTTTAAATGATTTTCACGACTCGCTCAGCACGCTGTCGCCGTACACAAGCATATAACTTCTTGTTTACATGCTTTTAATGTAACTGTATCTCTAGCCAGGCAAATACGCGGAAAGGCGCAAGGCGGAGGGCGAAGTCGAGAATAGCGCCAGTAAACAGTTGTTAGCTTTCAGGCGCGTGAAAATGCACACACATACTTACAAGGCGCGCTGTTCATGCGCCGGCGGGCTTAACTTTACTTTCGACCGCCTTAACATTCGTTCATTTAGTTACTTTTCCACATTTTGAAAAAGCAAACAAACAAAAAACAACAACAACAAAACGAAATAAAAAACTCTCAAACTTGTATTTATCCGCCAGTTTTTACCACTTCCTTGCGCATTTACGATGCTTTCCGCTTGAGAGTGCTTGCTACACACCCAAACTCACTTTGCGCGGCCAGGCATGTTGCGCAGCCAGCGGTAGAAAGTAAGAATGAAACGAATTTAAAAGAGTGAAAAACGAATAACGGTGAACGGTGGAGAATGCAGAAAACTATGTACAATGAAATCAAAACCAACCTTTGCTGAATGGAACAGAAAACTACAAAAACTTCACTGAAAACCGCCCGCAAAAACAAAAAACTGGAAAAAGCAAATAATTAGCGTCGGTGGCGAAGAATACATACACACACAAGCAAACATAAGCAGAAGTCTGCGAAGCCACGCTTTCGTTAAATTTTTATGTTAATTTGTGTATTTATAGTGCTCGCTCGGAAGTCCACTCCCGTAGAATGCTCTACAGTCGAATGGTGCGCCTGCTGTTATGCTACAAGCTGACACTTGACGGAATAGAATGAGTCCCAATTCCCGCCGTGTCCAATTTGAAAACACGCAAAGCGAAACATTCTAATGCCTTGAGTTAATTAAACTTCAAAATTCATCTCGATCTCAATTACACAAATTCAGCGGGCAGCTAGCAGCGACGAGAACGTGATAAGAAAATGAGAAATAAGATGGAAATAAATAAACGATGAAAAACAGACGACGAGTGTCCCACTAGACCGCGAAATGCAAATATATTGATTCGGTAAACAGATACGTTTGATATGCAGGTTTAACGCCAAGTTTGGACGTGGAAGCTCTCAAGAGACTCAAACGAAGGGTCAACCGGGTCCAACAAGACATCGCAGCTGAATGGAAGTTGCACTACGACAACGCCTCGGCTCGCACCGCCTTTCTTGCGAAGAGCTACCTAACCAGAGCCGGCATTCCGCAGCCGCCCTACAGCCCAGATGTGGCCCCTCGGACTTTTTTTTTCCTTGCCTGGAAAGGTCGATGAAAGACAAGCATTTTGAGACAGCAGAGGGGATCCAAGCAGCTTGCACTTATGTAGGATCTCAAGGCTATTCCGGAGAATGCCTTCCGTGACGCTTTTAATGCTTGGAAATCGCGCTGGTAGCGTTGCAACGACGTAGAAGGAGCCTATTTTGAAAGCTTTTGAAGAATTGTAACGATTAGTTCGATAAATTTGTTTAAATCGACTCAGTCCTATTACATTCCGGATTTTGTGTTTATCTCCTAATTTCTTTCGCACTTCGAAACGTGTAGAAAACGGGAGACAACCATACCACTCTTAAATTTGAGGCGTTGGTGGTCTACTTTGTCCCAAGTAATAACTGTAAACATGTTAAATCAATGTAA